CCTGAGACGCGCTCCTCTTGTTTTAGTAGACAGCACTTGGAAAAACTGTTCAACGTCCAATTTCACTAAGCCATTCAATATTTTGTAAGCCATCAGTAAATCATATCTCTTCCTCCTCCACTCGAGAGATTTAAGCCCGTACGTCGTATTCCTCACAAAACCTCTAGGTATATCTAAGTAGTTTAAGCCCGTACATCTAAGCATTAACTTTACGAGTAAAATTGTTAGGAACAGTTTCCAGCGTCTGTCTGTCTTTTTTTAGTATGTAGATTAAATACCGCACTACCACATTCCAGTATAGGACAGACGTAAAGCTTATAGGAAAGTAAGTGGATCCTTGGATCCAGATAAGTTGAGCGTTTTGCGCATCCCTTGACCACCAATATTTTAAAGTGCTTTCTGAAACTTAGTTTACTGTCATAGTGGAATCCGAGATCCCTAACTTCCGCCACCGTTTTCAATGCAGCTTTATCGGCGAAAAACTGTGGTTCGCGAGTGTGAACCCCAAGCGCATAACCTGCTTCTTCTATGATGACAGGAAGCCCATTGTTATCCGCCCATTCACAACCCCATTTTTATTGCGAGTTGAATTGAAGGGTCGTATTCTGAACCACTGACCACCTTGTAACTTTCAATATCATCTACATAGATGTTACAAGCAACACCAAAATCTTGAAGAACATGTGGAAGATCAGCAGTGAAGATATTAAATAACAATGGAGAGGGGACCCCGCCCTGAGGTACCCCAACATGCCTACCGCAGTTCGAAGAGCATCCCCTACCTGGATTTGAAATGTTCTATAGGAAATCTGATCTATCTGCCTACAAAGGGGTGAACTCCATAGTGGTGAAGTTTACAGATAATAACATCGTGTGACAACCTGTTAAAAGCCTTGCTAAAATCAAAGTAGACTACACCAACATTTCTCTTCCCATCTGAAGTCTTAGTCCAATCGTTCGGACAGCCCAACAATGAAGTTTCGATCGACTTGCTCTTAGAAGAGCCGTGATGTGATGTAGAGATAATGTGATTATCCTCAATGTGGCCGATCAAGTACTTTTTAATAACCTTTTCAAACACTCGCGCAAATATAGAGGTAAGACTGACCGGTCTATAATTGTCCGGGCTAGAGAAAGGCGCTTTTTTATGGATAGATAGGACATGGAGTGTTTCCATAGACACGGAACTTGTCCGTGCATCAGGCTTAGATTGAAAAGAAATTCAGGAGGAAATTCAGGAGGACCACAGGTTTCAAAAATACAATTTTTACCACAATTAAAGGTACTTTCTCACAGATTACATCGGACGCAGATGACCATTTGTTCAAAATCTCCCCGATCGAATCTGTACGAAACCATGGAGCAGTGAGATTTGGATATCTCCGAAAGCTGATCCCGTTGAGCAGAGTGAGCAGTGTTACAACCTTGCGAACGTGTCAGCTAACAACTCAGCTTTATCCCCGTCCAATACTGCCCTTTTAGGGTCTCATCCCAGAAGGATGCCTGTTCTCCTTTTGCCCGAAAGCCTCACTTTGAGGACAGAGTATAAAGCTTTCAATCCTCCCTTAAGCAATTCAGCCCTTTCCATGTAACCATTGAACATGTTAAGTTTCGTAGACCAACTCCTACTTAACGCATGATAACATTTCCAGTCAATTGAGGATTGAAAAGAAACTGTTCTCTCTTAAAATCTTTCCCTGGCTTGCTGCATACACCTTGAATAATCGGGTAGTTCATGATATTTATTCTGCAATACTAGCCTATAAGGTACACTCGAAATCCCTGAGATCGGGTAGGCGTGGCCGCTTGTTTCAACACCCCCGACGCTGATCGATCGCCTATTACGTCACCCATGGTCCCTTCGCGAGCTGACGTTTGCCGCGAACCAATCATGGGTCCTAATTTAGAGTCGATCGATAAATGGGGTAGCGCGGCGTTTATTTGCCAATGCTTCTAGCCGGCCATTGCAGCCTAAGGGGGGATGATCAAGCTTCAAAAGTTGATTATCTCGCCTAGAAAAGGTCGAGGGGCGGAGGAAAGGAGGTGTCATTGTTGGCTCTACGGAAAGATATCCCCCACCGTCTGTATGTATCCAAAAATTTCTCTGAGTATTGTCAAGTAATCATTATGGAGGTCACCATTAGTTGTCATGTAGTTATTATTGCTACGATGAAGCCCCTCCTGCAGGATTGACGCTCTTTGGGAGTTAATTACATTTCTCTCTGACCTTATTCTCGATTGTCCTAGCAAAATCATTATTATGGGCGACTTGAACTTTCCACTGATTGATTGGACCTCACTTAGTCATCGGGGTAATTTAAGTTCTCCCTCTTCGACTGCCCTTATTGACCTTTGTGTGTCTTTTAACCTCAAGCAACTGGTCATGGAGCCCACCCTTGGACTAAACATACTTGATATTGTGTTGACTTCGGATCCTGAAATGGTTAGATGTGTCGAAGTAATGCCTCCCTTCAGCACATCTGACCATCGCAGTATTAGCGTGCTTTTGTCTCAACCGATTTCTTGTCAGCTCTTGAAGTATACTCTCCGCCCCAATTTCGCTAGAGGTGATTTTGTCAGCATCAACAGGGCCTATTAGAGATTGACTGGGTGCCACTTATTGCGGCAGGTTCTCCAAATGATGCTTACTCCTTGTTCGTTTCCATCTGTCACTCGTTCATTTCGCAGTGACGTTGCCATCTCATCAAGTGCTAAACTCCACCCCGGAATATATACCTAGAAAATTCTTCGCTTAAGGCTAAAGTGAACGCATCTATCGCCACATGTGATCGTTAGGTTTAGTATTATGCTAACATATCGACTGCAGAAGCTTAAGCGTTTGATCACTCGTTTAGCCATTACTGAGGAAGAAAAACTTGCCAAGCAGAGAAACCTTCGTCGCTTTTTCAGATATTGCAATAGTAAACTCAACGTGTCCGATGAAATCCCTGAGCTTATTCTCGACGGCAAATACACTGCTCGTTCAGAGTCTTAGGAGAAAGTCGTGCGGTTTGCTGAGTATTTCCGGGCTTTTTATAAGATCAAAACACTACGTCATCCCACCGCCTCCCCCCCCCCATATCTTTGAGTGGATATACTCCACTGAATCAGTTTACAGGTTGCTGTCAAAGCTCCCCAACAGGTATTCCACGTCTCCTGATAATATTCCTTATGCGTTTCTCAAACGTGCTGCTCTGGGCCTGGCTAAACCTCTCACGCTCCTCTTTAACAAGTTCTTGCTGTTAGGTGATTGTCCTGATATTTGGAAAACGGGTTAGTTAAACCGGTCCACAAAAAAGGTCACGCCCCAAGCGTGGTAAAAACTAATCGACCTATTTGTCTTATTCTTGGTGTCTGTAAACATTATGGAAAGAATATTTGTCTGGAGTTCACAGGGTAGTTGCATTGGGCCGCTTATGTTCCTGATTTATGTTAACGATCTCCCCATGGTTTTCCCTCCAGGCGTTCACATTTCCCTGTATGCCGACGATTCTAAAATTTTCACTATAACAGAGCCGGCTTGGCAAGATGGTGTCATCTTGGCCTAGTGGGCTGCAGGGTGGGAATGAGATCTCTGCAGGAGAAGAACTACGCGTGATGTTGTTCAAGACAAACCCAGACGCGTCGTTTTCAAGTTTGAACGATCTCTCTCAGTTATTCTGATTATATTCGTGACCTTGGAGTCAGTTATGATGCTGAGACTCGATTTTGAGCGTTTTATTACCGATATTGTTACCAGAGCAACTGTCAGATCTAATTACATCTTGCGTGCCTTTCACTCACGTGACCCTAAGCTGCTTTTCAAATTGTTCACGATTTACGTAAGACCCATACTTGAATACTGTTCTCAACTATGGTCGCCATATAAAGCGTATCTAATTGATAGAGTAGAACAGGTACAGAAAAGGTTCACCTATAGTATTTTCGCTAGGAGAGGCAAGCGTAGGTTCTCGCATGAGAAGCGGCTTAGTTTCTCGGCGCTAGATCTTTTGGGAACAAGGAGGAAGATTGCGGACTTGGGTTTCTTGTACAAGATCGTCTTTAATGAGGTCGACTTGGGCGTTGAAGATCTATTTCGTATTTCTCCATTCAATAATATAACCAGGGGCCACCCGTACCGGCTGTGCTTATTTGGCTCTCAGAACACTGATCTCTTCCGCAGTTCGCTGGTCGGTTTTCCGATAGTAATTTGTTCCCTGGAATAACCTTAGCACCGACCTCTTCAAATTTAGGAAAGCCAGTTCGTTCAAACTAGCGTTGGCAAAAAGCTTGCGTAGTCTATTAGTATGGCGGTGTCGTTCAACCGGACAGCCTCTTTGAACCCATTTACTGTTCGAAATCGTCGCCATGATCAGACTGCTTGTTTTTTCTTCCGTTTTTACTGATTTTGTAAGGACCATGATTCTTCACCTCAGTTTTTGTTATTCTGTTTCTTCGTTCCCTATGTGAGGGTCTGACACACGTAATAACCGTTGCGCGTCCCGTGACTGCTTATTCTTTCTGAGTTACCTCGCCTTTCGTACCTTATTATGCTTCCCTTAGTCGCATAGTGGGCCTGAAGCTGGGTTGTAGGGGTAGGGAATACCTGACATCCGAAAACCCAGCTTCAGGTATGCAGGCGTGCCCTGGTGCCCCTGTATGTGGTGTCTCCCTAGCACCATCCGCTTAGTTGATTTTTAATCCCCATGCTCCTCTTGTTACGAGGGCCAGGTTTCTCTTGATGTCACGTCACGAAATCATAATTCGGGACAAGGAGGTTTTTTTCGTGGCTGTCATTAGCCTCGTTAAGGTTTCATGATACATGTGCGATACACTGGTTTTATGTGATTGCTTATTGATTAATTTTTTCTGTTATGTCCACATTGTAGTTTTATCTTTTATTTATTCTGCTTAGAATGTCAGTTAAGAACTTTGTCGTTGTATTTATTATGCTGCCTGTTTACGATGACTGACTGCCATTTACAATAAAACGCAGTAAAACCAATAAACAACAAAGCCATAGAAGATACGACCCTGTCATCCGGGCAGTTGATTAGGTCGCGTCAGCTCAACGGCCGCAGCGCGTGCCAGGAACTATTTGCTTTTTCCAGGCTAATTTAGTCATTTTTTTCCAACTTTTCACTGTTTTAGCTACTTTTTCCAAGATTAGCAGCTCCTTATCTTCACAAGGTGTTTTCTGGGAATGCGCGGCTTCTGAGGGATTCTGCGGATGCACGTTGATTGTCCTTGAGTTGGGCCCTTGTCATCACATCTTCTGTCTTATTTATGTAGGCACCTTGCCAAATATTTCCGCATCAAGGATTGCGTTTTACTCGTATTTGAGAGCGCAATTAAAGGACTTGGCAAAGTGCCAAGGAGCCGCACGCGACACGCGCGCTTGCAACGGATGTTATGAAGGACGGGAATCTGCGCCGCAAAAGGTGTAAGGCGGAGCATGGAGGAACTAGCGTGTTTCACGGCCCTGTATCTCCATTCCTGGGCATGTTTGGGCGGGGGGACCACGACACATCGACAGCTGGGGGGCTGATAGTCTCATACACCCTCAATGTGTTTGAGCGTACCATGTGTCTTTAAGTGACCTTACAACCTTTCTTCTTCACAGTTTTCGAGAGAAATACCATGACAATGGACACGTGGCTTACGTGGAATCGATGTGGTTCCCAGTATATATAGTCTATAGTATATACTGGTAATAGTCGATAGTAATTGAAAAACCCACCAATCAAAAATTTTTAGAAATTTTCGCAGTTGAAGCAAAATAAGGAGGGAACCCAGTAATTGGGAGTGGGGACGTTCTGTCGGTGGTAACATTCGAGCTCTCCGTGCGACACACTCTTTGAAATGTACAATAATGTCAAGTTCTCATTTTCAGTGCCACCCATGACTCTGCAGTTATGCCTCTTCCGGGTGTTAAGGACTCATGCGCACTAATTCAACTTTACCCATTCTGATGTCGCAACTGCGGTCCTTAATGATATGGTGCAGCCTCTCACGGTTAAAGGCAGTTGGCACGATAAATCCTCCAAGACGAGCAGGACTAATACGCCTGGCAGGACGGAATTCCGCGACCCTGAGCAGGCGCTGCATAATGCCTTTTCCAGGGAAGGTGCCCTTATAAGGGCGCTATCAAGCCACAACTTTACGTCCCAAACGCCCCCTTGCCCGCCCGCCCACAAATGGACGACTGTTCCAGACGCTCTAATTGATTCATTTGCTAAGCAAATTATGAAGCGAAGGCATTGGTATGAAGCGGCGTGATGCTGCATGGATATATGAGTACACATATGCAGCCGTACCTTCGGTAGCGGTTATTGGTAAGATGCCTTCGGGAAACTCGTCCAAAATTGATTACTAACACAGTGAGAACGGAGGCTCTTTTTCGCAGGATTTTGACCGTTTCACTCCGTTCTTTCGCCATTTTTCTCCTACTAGCAGCATTTTAGGCCGAGCACCCAATCATCGTGCCAACTGCCTTTTAAAAGCCTGTAGTAAGCAAGAGGGACCAGGTATTGGTAGATAATGACTGATATTGGGCTTTTTCAACTCATTTGCAATGCACATGTGTTGCCAGTTGGGCATTGCCATATCACTCGATCCGTATCTAATCTTCGCGAAGTAGTCGCCGGTTACGCAACTTTCGTTCAGTTACGCAGCTTTCGTCGCTTACGCAGCTTTCGTCGCTTTCGTCGAAAACGTCGGTTTCGTCGTCGAATCGATACGTATCTAATCTTCGCGAAGTAGTCGTCGGTTACGCAGCTTTCGTCACTTACGCAGCTTTCGTCAGTTACGCAGCTTTCGTCGGTTTCGTCGGCTACGTCGGATCAATACATATTTCGTCTTCGTGAAGTAGTCGCAGAAAACGTCGGTTACGTCGGTTTCGTCGGTTACGTCGACGTTGACGACGCCGTCGCACGGTATGAACGCAGCCTAAGCTACATGAGTCGCACAATAATGTTATCAATCATTTTCATGTTTAGACTTGCATAGAAGATAGTTCTATTATTGATATGTGAAAGGTTGTGAATCCACAACACTGGGGCGGGGCGAGATGAGCGGTAGCTCAGTATTCAATAGAATCAGTTGTAAAACAGAGAATTATCACAAAAGGTGCAAGTAATTCGTTATGACAATCACAGAAATGAATAGAAATGTAGTTACATTCGTAACCTGTGGTTGAGGGAGAACCGCACTAATCGATGAAATACATCAAAGGAGATATCCACAAATCATTCATTACAGGTTCCTGGTTTCCCGAACACGCACTGAAGTTGTAGACGCAGTCGTCTGTGCACATCGTTGCTTGTTAGGTTGAGATTCTGAGTTCCAGCACAGTTGTGATATTATTGTATTGGAGCGTTTCCCAGTGGTCTGGGTGCGGTTCAACAGTGGCGTTGCAGCGACAGATGATTTGAGTGTGTCTACAAGCGTCGTAACTAGTTGCTTCCGGGTGGCATTCGTTTCTGCCATTTGTTTCCTACGTTTCTTTCTAATTGTCGAAAATTTTTCGGCGTACAGTGAGATACTTTACACTGATCCGGAACAGCATTTACGCACGGTAATGTTGTGCTTCCTGTCAGTCTTTTGATTAAGGCCGAGATTGTCACAGTAATGAAGTAAGTGGTTCCGAACGACTCCGTTCTTCGGTCTTGTGGCGCTGATCCTGCTCGTTCCGGAAATCGTGTAACCAAATATTGTTGGCGTTAGAATGAGTCCTGATGGAAGGATCATCGTTGGAGCATCGTAACAAATCACTTAATGAGTAAATCTTGTCCTATCCTCAAATCACTTGATTCCAGTGTGTGCTGCGCTATTGTGAGGTTCCGTTGGCTCATTTCTTGGTGCGCGATAGCTTTGCAGTCCATTTGAGTGCAGTTAGTTTCTCCTTGGTGTGAACTGGTTGTCTTATTATCTTCTTGGAGCTATGAAGACTTTTCAAGGTCACTACAACTTCTTCGGAGTTGAAAGTTTCTTGAAGCTCTCCCATTCCTATGGTGGTGAACGTCGTAGAGCTGAGAGTGGACAAACATAGTTGGCTCTTCGTCTGCGCTCTCACGAAGCTTCTTTGGGCTCCTGTCGAGTGTGGATCGAGCAGCACATTGACTGGCTGATAGTCCATTTCAGCTTCATCGAAGATCAGTGCTGATGCAGTCTGTAGCACATGTTGGTTGGAAGCTGTTGATTCGGCTCGGCTGTTGCACTCTCTCGGTTAGGCAGAGCTTTGTTACGAGTACTCCGTCCCAGTAGTTACCTCTGAGTCCTGGAGCCTGCTCGGAGCAGTTGTTTATCGAAATGTTGGCCACTGATGGAGCTTTGACGCTAGTCTCGTTGACTGGGTGGGGTTATGATTTGCAGTCGGTTCGCAGAAGAGGCCCCAAGGTGAAAAATGGTGGTCCTCGTTGCAATTTGGACATTTGCTGACAGTAGAACACACTCTTGAACTATGCTCTTTGCTGAAGCACCTCCAGCAAACCCTTTGTCGCCTGGCTTCCGCTCGGCGTTCTCTGGTGAGCTGAATTTCTGGCAATGTTGTAGGGGGAGGGGTGTCTAAAAAGGCATGCTGATTTGACCCTGTCGCTCAATTAGGTTTGCTGTGAAAAGATGTTTTTTGAACGCTTTGGTCGTAGTCATGCTCGCAGTGACTTTCACTGAAACCGAATAGCGTC